ATATATATATATATATATATATATATATATATTCCTATGTATATATTCCTATGTATATATTTTTACAGGGCCGGGGACCCCGGAAAAGCGGCACCCGGTGCCCCCCCCCCAAAACGAATTTCGGCCTCCCCGAGCCTTTGGGGCGCTCCTGCAGAGTGCTCCGTGTCTGTCCTGCGAGTGCGTCGCGAAAAAAAAAACACGACGGCCAAAGAGGGCCCCGAGACACCCAAAGATCGGCCCAAGACGCCCAATCTGGGCCCAAGACTTCCCAAGACGCGTCCAAGACGCCCCCAGAGACCCCCAAGAGGCCTCCCAAGAGAGCCCCGAGAGGCTACAATTGTTGATTTTCCTGTGTGCTTTTCGATGTGTTTGGCCTTCTCGCTTTTCCCGCTTCCCGACGCTCCACAATGGCCCAAGAGGATCCCTAGATCGCCCCAATACTGCCCACGAGGCCCCCAAGAAGGCCCCGACACGGTCCAGGAGGGCTCCGAGACCGCCCAAGAGGCGCCCAAGACGGCCCAAGAGAGCACCAAGACGGCCCCAAGAGAGACCCAAGAGGGCGCCCAAAAGCTCAAAAACTAAAAAGCGCTCTGGGGGCGCCGGAAACGTCGCGAACGGAGGCCCGAGTCATGGCCCGAAAACCACGCGGGGGCATCAAGGGAGGAGAAGGAGGGGGGAGGGAGGAGGAGGATGAGGGGGAAAAGGGGGTCGAGGACGAGGAGGAGGGGGACATGGAGGAGGGAACGAAGACGAGGGGAGGGGGATACGGGGGATTGAGCACCTGGACGCGGTGCCCTTGCCTACCTTACCGGAGAGGGCCGGCCGAATCCGAGGAGCCCCTGGGGGATTTCAAAATCTGCACCGCCTCTTGCACTACCTTCGGGCCCCCTTGGCGGCTTGGGAAAAAAACGTTCCTAATTCGGGGGGGTTCTCTCACCCTTTGCCGCTTGACTCGCAGAGAGGCCGAGCGGCACCGCGCCGCGCCGCCAGGGATGGGGAGAATGGACAAAAAAAGAAGCGGACAGGGGGGAGAGGAAGAGGAGGAGGAACAGGAGGAGGAGGAGGAGGAGGAGGGGGAGGAGGAGGAGGAGGGGAAGGAGGAAGAGGAGATGACGGAAAGTAGTCTAATCCGCTTCGCCAGAGATATGCTCGCAACTCCGACCTCAGAAGCGCCTTGTTTCGCATCGGTCCCGCCGTTTTCGCTTGAGACATCATCGCAGCTCTGGGGCCCGAGACACTCTCAGTTGAGGTGTTCCAGCCGCTGTCGCCTGAGACACTCTCGCAAGTCCCACTTCGGAGGTGTCTTGCACCGTGCTGGTTCGGCCACTTTCGCGTGCGACTTCTCGCAACTCAAAGTTCAAGGATGCCCTGAGCAGAGGTGTTCAGACCACTCCTCGCTTGAAACTTCCTCGCGCGGGTGACTTCGGATATGCCCTCCCCTGAGCGGAGGTGTTCAGGCCATTTTCACCCGGGACGTTCTCGCAACAGTGACCTCGGCGACTCATTGTCCCATGGTAGTCTGACCACGTTTGCCTGAGATCTTCGCGCCTTTTAGTGGCGCGATGATATGAGCAAATGGTCAGGCCACTACCGCCTGATATACGCATGTGTATGCGCACACATAATTACACTGACCATTTGCATATACATGTACATATCCATGCAATGTACATATGTATTATGCATTCATAGACGCATGTGTGTGCGCATGTACGCACGCTCGCACCCCGCTAGCGTGCGAATTCCAAACGACCAAGGTGCATGGCGCGCGGCGCCAATGCAGTCTTGTATGTATGTATGTATGTATGTAGGTAGGTAGGTAGGTATGTATGTATGTATGTGTATATATATATATATATATATATATATGCACGGCGGGGGGCATTGGTTACGGAATGTGCCCAGGCGGCTGCAGACCCTGGAAGATTCCTTATTTGATGAGGTCGGCAGTGGTACCCATGGCCAATCCACGATAGGTGTTCCACCGGCTTCCAGACCCCGGATTCCTTATCCTGTGGTTCCTTATCCATTGCACTTACCGTATATATACACACGTTTTCCTCCTCCAAGAAGACCACACCGCCGGTCTGGGGCAGCTGGCATCCCCTGCCCGGCAGAGGGGTGGCAGAAGCAGCGCGGCGGCGGTTCTGCCGACGGAGGGCGGCCAACTGTTTGGGGATTCAAGGCCCTCCTCCTCCTCCTCCTGCTCCTCCTCCTCCCGCCCCATCGTCCTCGCCCTCCGACTTCCCCGCCCCAGCGCCCGTTTGCGGGGGCCCAGCGCAAATCTGGGCAGAACAGCGTCGTGTCCGCCGCAGCCAGGCGGCGCTGCCGTGAAGCGGCGCTGCGGCGCTGTGTGCGGGGCCGTGGCGTTCGTGCCCATGCGTTGTGACACTCGGCCCTTTTTCGTTGCCTCTCGAGCTCTCCCTCTCCCCCTCTCTCCCTCGTTCCCTCTCTCCCTCGCTCTCTCTCTCTCTCTCTCGCTGTGTCGTGTTCGCTCGATCCTGTCGCAGATTGGGAGTGTAGGAAGGTGTGGTTCGTGAGTTCCTGCACTCTGGTTCCCAGCATCACCGTTAAGCAACATCGCCGTTAGCCTTGCATTGGTCTCTCCCTCTCTCTCTCTCTCTTTCCCTCGCTCTCTCTCTCTCTCTCGCTTCCCCTCTCTCTCTCTCTCTCTCTCTCTCTCTCTCTTTCTGAATATATCTCACTCTCTCCCTCCCTCTCTCTCTGTCTCTTTTCCCTCTCTCACTCTCACACTCCCTCTCCCCCTCTTTTTCAGGGCTTCCTGGGGCTCTCCCTGTGTTGCCAGCCCGCCAGGCGCACCCGCGCGCCGCGGCGCGTCGCCGGCGCCGGCCGTCGTCCTGCTGCTGGGCCGGGCGGCGCGGAGGGGTGCCGCCGCGAAGGAAATCGAGCAGTGGCGAAGCGTCCCGGCTTGCCTATAGGGACCACCAGCGACTGTTCTAATAATTAACCTTTTGAGGCTTGCACGACATGTTTTCAAAACATTTCTGGTTGAGGCTGTCCTGTTTTAACACATCGGATTTATGTTCTGAGAACATGATTGTTGTCCTTAGAGAACATTTGGGGGGTACTCAGAAAATGTCGTCGTATAGGCTTATGGGAATGCCGGGGCGGTCGGTCCCTGCTCAAAGCAGAGTCATTCGAGTGATCGTTTTCTTATCCCTTGTTTTGCTGCTCGGCGCGGGCCCTCGCATCCCTCCCCTTCCCCCCCTGCATGGAGTGGATATCAGCTGTCGTTTAGGCGCCTGCTTCGAGCAGGTGGGGGTTCCTGGACGCACGGTTCCAAACGGTCGCATTAAGCAGATGTCCGGAGCCACACCCCCACCCCTTCCCCCCCCTTCCGCCCAATGTCGAAACTCCGAATAAGAAAACGCTCACCAGATCTGGGCGTCGCCCAGCAAATCATGTGACGACAGCTGGTTCCAGACCCCTCGGTAAGAGAACAAATCACGGCGGGTGGGTTTTCGTTGATTTTCGGCCTCGTGGGGTCTTTCGCCGGGCTCCGGGACCTTCAGCGAGATGATATATACAGGATGAGAAGCCCGTCCCTGCGGTGGGGGCCCAGACCTCTGGGGAGCCACGCTGTGAAGAAAATCAAGGTGCCGGGTGCCGTGGAGCAGTTAGTGATCCATGGGTCAAGGGTGGGACGGGGATGGGCTTGAGGGGCGCGCCGACCCCCAGTTGCTCATCACTCACTTGAGCCGGGCACCGCCTCCCGGAGGCGTTGGGCGCCGCCGCGCGGCGCCACGACCGCTCAGCGCAAGCGTCGCAACAAAAAACGCCGATAAAGGGGCCCGATAGCCCACTCCGCCCAGGAACGTGCGGTGCCGCAATCGGGGGCCCAACCTCAGGAGGCCTTTAGTTATTGTTCCCCCCCCTGTTTCTCTCGGCGGGAGATGAACTCGCCCCTCCGCCTCCTCCTGATCCTCCTGCTCCTCCTGCTCCTCCTCCTCCTCCTCCTCCTCCTTCTCCTCCTCCTTTTCCTGATCCTCCTGAGAACCTGAGGGCAAAGCTTGTGAAGGCTACTATGAAGTAGGGGCAGGGCCTTTCAGGGCCCCGATTCCCTGAAGGTTCCGTGCGGGCAAGGGCCCTCATGGGCTGAAGGGGATCCGAGCTTCAGACGGTTCATGTGAGCTCGGGGGATCCCTTGATTCCCCAATCAGAGCTTGCCTCTGTAGGGGTCCTAGCGGATTCGTTCCCCCATCAGAGCTTGCCTCTGTAGGGGTCCTAGAGGATTCATACGGTTAGGTTAGGTTTGTCGCCGATTCTCGCTGCACGCCCGGGTGCCCGGGTGCCTGGGGGTGCCCGGGGGGGCCCCGGGGTGCCCGGGTGCCCAGGTGCCCGGGCGTGCCCGGGGTCCCATGGGGGTGCCCGGGGGTGTCTATAGCCCTAAGCTCCGTAGCCCAATAGCCCTATAGTCCTACAACTCTATAGCCCTATAGCTCTATAGCCCTATAGCTCAATAGCCCTATAGCCCTATAACCCCCTAGGCCTATAGCCCTGATTGGGTTTTTTCTCCGGTGTCGTATGGTTAGGTTCGGTTTGTCGCCGATTTTCGCTGCACGCCCGGGTGCCCTGGTGCCCGGGGGTGCCCGGGGCTCGGGTGCCTGGGGGGTGCCTGGGGGTGCCCGGGTGCCCGGGCGTGCCCGGGTGCCGGGGTGCCCGGGCGTGCCCGGGGGTGCCCAGGGGTGCATTCGGGTGACCTATAGCCCTGAGCAAAAGAGCCCTAAAGCCCTGTAGCCCTACAACTCTGTAGCCCTATAGCTCTATAGCCCTATAGCTCAATAGCCCTATAGCCCCCTAGCCCTATAGCCCTGATTGGTTTTTTTTTCTCGGGTATCATATTTTTTCTGAGTTGTTATTCATATACAAGCACCCGTGATTTCGCGCCCTAATTTTGGGATCCCCTCTCCGCCGGGGGCGCCTTAATATTCCGGAACCCCCAAAATCAATAACAAGTAATTTTGCGGGCGCGATCGTTCATGACGGCGGCCACGTCGGTGATCACGGCGGCAATTCGGTAGACGGCGTTGCGACCGTGGAGGTTGGACCACACTGTTGAGCAACGTGATGCGCAAAGGCTTTCCATGCCACCCCGCAACACTTGCGAGGCGCAGGGGAAACTAATGGACGATAGCGGCCCGACTCCAAACACTTACGGCGCATATTTCGTGCGAGGGGAAGGGCATTGCGCAGCTATTAGCGGATGCAGACGTAAGTATCATGTAATGGCAGCGGGGGCGATGTTGCCGTTGAGACCAGCGATGGCAAACACATGGTACTAAGGGCACGCCAAGAGCATGACGTCGACGGCGACGGCCATTGGAATGACGCTTGCGATGGTGGTGATGATGGCGGTGGCAGTCAACGACGACGATGTTTATGATGATGAATCATGGTGGGGACGGATGATGATGGGAGTTATGCGGATTATGAAATGATTCGTGGCGGTCACGAGCACAAACATCGATCATGCCGTGTGTGCAAGAAGTGTGCGACACTGCATGCGGAGGAGGCGCCCTTATAAACGGACCCCCCCCCAGAACGTCGGCTTCAACAAACGCCTTCATGATCCTGACCCCCCTGCCTCCCCAGAAGGGGCTTTCAACAAATCACACCCGGGGACGAATATCAAGGGATCTGGAGTAGGGCCTGGATCTTTCAGGGCCCCAAGGGCTTCCTGAGGGTTCCATGCGGGCGAGGGCCCCCATGGTCTCAAGGGGCTCCGAGCCCCAGACGGCTCATGTGAGCTAGGGCCTGGGCCTGTCAGGGCCCCAAGGACCCTCATGGACTTAAGGGGCTCTGAGCTTCGGGCGGTTCATGTCAGCCAGGGTCTGGGCCTCTCAGGGCCCCAGGGGATTCTTGAGTGTTCCACTTGCGCCAAGAGGGGCAATCGCACCCACGCAACTGTGAATCGTCCTCCTCCTCCTCCTCCTTCTCCTCCTCTTCCTCCTCCTCCTCCTCCTCCTCCTCCTCCTCCGCTCAACATCCCCTCTTCCCCCTTGTCCTCCGTTGCCTCAACCTCCTCCTCCTCCTCCTCCTCTTTCCCTTTTCTCTCTCCTCGTCCTCGTCCTCTCCTCCGTTTCACTTTGCTCCTCCTCGCGGCGGCACAGGAATAGTTTCCCTCAAGCGTTTGTCCGGCGAGATACTGTTAGTGTTTGTTCTTCTCCGGGGGAATAAAGTCACACGGTGGTTCCACATGCGGGAGAAATTCTGTGCACAATCGTAAGAGGATTGTAGTACAAGTGTTTACGTTTTTCTCAAAATGATGGTTGCATGAATGCATATCAAATTGTTTTCTGCTTACATTACTTCGATGCACATCATAAAGCATTGTTCGCAAGCTTGAATTAGGCTCGCGGAGGCAGGGGAATAGTTGTCCCTTGATGTGTGTCGGCTGCGATATTGTTGGTCTGATAGTTCTCCCCGGTAGTTGTGCAACATGGGCTATTCCACGCGCGATCGATCTGCCCAGTACAATGGTACGAGAAGTTAAAAACAAGTCGTTAAGGTTTCTCTTCAAGTCCTGGTTTCTTGAATGCAGATCGACATGCTTTTGGCTGGCAGCATTGTTCGCAAGCTTGAGCGGCGCTCGCGGCGAGAGGAGAAGACTTCCCTTCGAATGTTCGTCGGGCGAGATGTTGTTGGTGGGTTATGCCTCCTGGGGAATAATACCACATGGGTTACCCCACACGCGGGAGAGTTTTTTACACAAAATAAAAGCACGCTCGTAATATAGTGATTGTTCTTCAGGTGTTGGCAGTTTGATTGCAACCCTTTGTTTGCCGACATTCCCTTGATGATATTTGTAAAGCACAGAGCGGCGCTCGCGGCGATCGAGTAATAGTGTCCCTCTAAGTTTCGTCGGGCGCGAATTTTTGGGTCGGTGATTTCTCCCAGATAATAATGTAACATGGGCTACTCCACGCACGACCGAGCTTTTGGGCATAATCGCACAGTTTTCTTCAAGTGATGGTAGCTCCAATGCAGATATAGGCGTTGTTTGGCTTGCACTCGTAGTCGGAGTCGCAGCAGCCGTAGCCGTACTCGTAGTCGTGGTCGTGGCCGCGGTCGTGGTCGTGGTCGTAGTCGTAGTCGTTGTGGTGGTCGTGGTCGCTAACTTCTCGTAGTCGTAGTCGCAGTCGTAGTGGTAGTCGTAGTCGTATCGATGCCGCATTTTTAATTGCAATGGTAATCGTGGTCGTCGTCGTCGTCGCCGTCGCCGTCGTCGTTGCTGTGCGGTGTGTGCCGCCAGGGAGACATCTAGTGGTCGGTCTCGGTGGGACGCCAGTCCGTCAGTAAGGCCGCAGGAAGGATCATTACTTTTCAACTACTGGGGGGGGCTCTGAAGACCTCGCAGGGTTATCGCCGATGCAGCGGCGATTTATCGCCGATTCCAGCTCGCTGCTCCCCACCACCACTCCCGCATCATCCTCCTTAGTTGTTCACGTCGCTGGCCTCTGGAGGCCGCAGGACGACTGTCACAAGGAAAACACTGCTCCGGGGAAGGGGTCGAGCGGTCCTCCGGGGGGGCCCACGCCGCGCCAAAGCAGCGACGTCGGCGAAGCGGGAGCGGGTCCATTGGGAACGACGGTCCTGAGGTCCAAGAACGAGGGTCCCGAGGGAGAGCCTGCGGCCCTCGGGGGCGAGGGTCCCGAGGGTCTTGCGCGACACGCAGCTCTCGTCCGTTCACATGGCGGCCAGGGTGAAACGATGGCCCCCGGGAGAGCCCCCGTGCACGGCAGGTTCGCGTCGTCCCGACGCGGCAGCGGCCCCGCCGCGGGCGTTCCAGGCGGAACGCCACCAGAGGCCCGGAGCCAGCCGACGTGGAGCGGTCTGCACGATCGAGGAGCAGCGGTCGCCCAAGGTGGAACGCTCCACGCGGTGCCAGAGCAAAGACCCCCGACGTGATGATTTTTGTCATGACGTCGACCTCCCGAGGTCCCGGCCCGTTCCCTGGGGCCAGTTGTTCACCCTGGGCAGTTTGGTGACGGTCCCGAGGGCCAGCGGGGGCCCCTAGCGGTAGAAAATAGCCAACGACCTCCCGTCGCGACTTTTCAAAATGCGGGGGGGTCTCGGAGGCCAGCGCCTGGGGGGAGTAGACGTCCGAGCGATGGCCAGGCATCGCGGAGCGCGGCGCCCGAGGTTGGGTGACTCCGCGCGAAGCCCAGGCTCATCGTTTGCGGCGGATCCGAAGTCAGGGAGGTCCGGGCCCCACCCCCAGTCCCTCCCGATCCCGGGCGGGTGGCGATGGCGGGTGAAGGGAAGGGTCCTGAGGGGCCTTCGAGGGCCTCTTCTGGAGCCGGCAGGGGCCCAAAAGGGGCCCCAAGGTTGCCAGCCTCGAACTTATCCCTATTGTTAAGATTGGCGCGCCAACAAGCGATGACAATCTTAGGGATGCGCCCTCCAAAAATCAGGGAATCCCTAAGAGTGGCATCGTGATGAGGAGATGCCCAGCAGAGGGATAGGGATATGTTCCAGGCTGGTCACAAGGGGGCCCCTTCCGGGTCCTTTCTGCTCACCCCCAGGTGCCAGCGCACCCGCCGTGGAGGCCGTGTGCAAGGACCTGGCCGAGCAGCACCTCGAGGCCGCCAGGGGCGCCCCGGAAGGGCGGAGGGCGGGCAGCCCGGGCCAGGGCCCACGCAGCGACTCCTGCATAGAGGCGAGCTGTTTTCGGCCGGCCACGCGCAGGAGGTACCTTTTGCCAGAGTGTGGCCTTTTCTACGCCTCCGAGATGGGGTCGGACTAGATGCACCGCATCGCACCGCATCGCACCGCATCGCCGATGCATCGGCGATGCGGCTTGATGTGGAGCCCGATCCTCTCCACTCCGACGTCGCTGGTGCATCGCCGACGTTGCCGGTGCATCGGCGATGCACCGGCGCTATCTTCCGACCCCGTCTTCTTCGAACCCATCTAGGAGGCATCTACCTTAGGCACAAGCAGGGGTGGCGTCTACCTTGGGTTCGGGCCCGCAGGGATGGCCCAAGCACCGGCCCGCGCGCTTGGACTTGAGGCCTTCGCGGCCCCCTTTCAAGCCGCGCGCCAGTGGCTGGTGGTGGCGAGCAGATCCCCGTCGATGTCTTTGTTCATGCTGTTGACGTGGGCTTCGTTTGTGGCGGCCGATCTCCCAGAGGCTAGCTGTCGGCGGCAAGTCTGCGCGGAAGAAGACGTCGGGCTCACGAAACTGGGGGCAAGGGCTAAATCAGGAAGGGAAAAACACACAGACACAATTAATCGTCGATTCCCTAGAAAATATGGGAAGTGGGGGGGAAGACAAAAACACAGAAAATATTGGAAAATATAGGAGATCCTGTTATTTGTGTGTATTTATTTGTTTGTTCCTGGGCCGTGTTCCTGGGCCCCTTGACTAAAGCAGTGCTCCGCCGATCCCCTCGGGCTCACCCCGGGTCTGGGAACCGCGCGGGGGGCTGGCACCCTCTCCCCGCTCTCCGCGGATCCTCGGCGGCGAGCGAGAGAGGGGGAAGGCGGGCAAGGGCTGCCAAATCCGTGGCTGCTCAAATCGACCTCCAGGAAGCTGTCTCCGTCCTTCTGGGAAGCAGCCCGTTGACTGTTTCGCGTGCCGCGCCTCATTCCGGGAAGTTGTTTTTTCCTTCCCAGAGGGCCGTTTTAGCAGCCACGGTTTTAGTAGCCCTCGCCCAGCTTCCGAGAGGGGGAGGGGAAGTGCGAAGGAAAAGGCCTTCTGAGCAGGTTCGGAAGTCCCACGGCCTTCTGATAAGTTTTCGAAGCCTTTCCGAAGGCCCCAAACACTTCTCAGAAGGCGCGAGGACTTCTGAGAAGTCCCGCCGCCTTCTGAGGAGGCCTTTTCCTTCTCATTTCCCCCCCTGCTCGCCGCCGATAGCTGGGTTGGGGAGCTCCTCCGCGGTTGGCCCAGACTTGCGACAGGGAGTTGGCCGACCCTGGCTGCCATCGCGCCGACCCGGGACAGCACGTCCCCGACAAGTCCGGTGGCAAATCATGGGAGCCTGGCGTACCCCGGGAATTCCGTCTTTCGCGTCGACCAGCGTCGTTTTAGCGTCTGGGAGTCGCTGAGGTAGCTCCGATGTTTAGCGCCGATTAGCGTCGACTCGCGTCGATTCAGCGTCGATTAGCGTCGGCTATAGCGTCGATTCGCGTCGATCCGCAAGAGCCGAGGGAGGCTCCCATGAGCTGCCACCGAAGGGGGCAGTGTGCCGACCTCCTGCACGCCTTGGCATCGCCTGGCAGCTCCCGCGGGAGGAGGAGGAGGCATGGGGAGAAGGAGGGCAGGAGGGTCACGGGAAAAGCTGGGGGCGGGGGGGGGAGGGAGGAGGAGGCGAAGGAGGAGGCGAAGGAGAAGGAGGAGGAAGAGGAGGAGGAGGAGGGGAGGAGGAGGGAGGAGGGAGGGGGGAGGAGGGATGGGGGAGGGGGGAGGAGGGGGGAAGTCTGCCGACCTCTGCTCGCCGGGGCATCGCCTGGCAGTTCCCGCGGGAGGGGGGGGGCGGGCACCCCTGCCAAGAAGGCACGCGTTGAAACGCGCGGCCTCCTCTGCCGGGGGGGGGGCCTCTCGGCGCCCACCCTGCCCAGGGGAACTCATCGGTCTCCGCTGTCGGGGGCCTGCCGTCGATCTTTCGGCGGCACAGGTGCTGTCGCCGAGGCGGCCAGGCCGATGTGCCCAGACATCCGGCGCCCATGATTTTTGTCACAGCATGTCTCCCCAGGGAGATCTGGATCCCTTCCCTCGAAGAAGAACAAGCGGCACAAACATAAACGTGTGGCGCTCCGCGCAGATTTCTTGGATGTGCGCTGGGACCCCATGGCGGCGCCTCCGGCGCCGCCCCTGGCGCGCACCTGGCGCGCACCTCGCGCCAGGGAAGGGGGCTCAGAGCAGATCCCAAAAATCCGCGCGGAGCGCCAAACATTAATTGTTATGCCGTTTTGTCTTCTTCTATTCCCCAAAACGGGCGTTTGATCCTGCGTCGTTTCTGGTGCACCTAGGGGCCTGGCGAGGGGCCCCACGAGGCCGAGCACGGGCACCCGCCGTCCTCGGTTATGGGGGGCCAGCCCAGGCCAGCTCTCGAGGGTCCTCGTCCTCCTCTGAGGAGGGGCCGCGCTCGACCGCTCGAGCTCGAACAGCTGACACCCTTGCGGCCGCGACGCTCCACAGCCGACACCCTTGCCAACGACGGAGACACCCAAACACCGCTGCGCCAGCCCACCCCCCCTGGCGATCGTTGTCTTATTCCTTGTTTTGCCGATCGGCGCGGGCCCTCGCACCCGACCTCGAACAGTTGACATCCTTGCGGCAGCGGGTGCGGGCGGAACTTTCTATCCATATCCAGTGCGTCATGAAGACGCAGTCCAAGTTGGACTTTCTGGGAGGGGGCGCCGAAAGGCCGCGGCGCACCAGACATGGATAGAAATCGAGCCCTCAGGGGCAGAATTTCTATCCATACGCTGTGCGCCTCGAGATTCTAGGGAATAGACTACACGTAAGAGTGACCCTTCGCAGGAGTGACTTTTGGTGCGGGCCCAATGGGGCCCGCCCGATCGCTGAATTCAATGCGATAGCAGCGGCTTGCGCGCCTGGTGTTGTCCCCAAAGGGCCCTCCCTTGGCCGCGCACTAAAGGTCACTCTTGCCTAGGGTCACTCTTGCGTGTAGCCGTAGGAAGGGACCCCTAAACTCCAAGCTGCAGCGAATATGGACACAAGTCTCTCCCGCAGCAGGCCCTTCTGTATTGTGAAGGCCTTGCGGCATGCCCCACCGACAGTCTGTTCGCTCCTTTCTCTCTTGGGACTGGCGACGCCGACGACGACGAAGACAACGACAGCGTCTCACACACGCCGAAGGGTTGGCGGGACGCAAAGATCTCAGGGATCCCATTTGCTGCGCCAGCCCCCGCGAGCCGATCCCCACCACTGTTGCCCCTCGGTTTTCAGCTCATCACTATCGGCCATTCGGGACGCTCCAGGCCTCCCTGGAGCGCTCTCGGCGAGGCGCAGCCGCTGGAAGGCTTCCCGAGGCTGCAAAGCCGCCGAGAACAGACGAAGACACCCAAACACCGCTGCGCCAGCCCCCCCCTGGCTCTAGGCCTCCCAGATGGGGTCGGTGCAGATGGGGTCGGAGCAGATGGTGTCGGAGGATCGCGCCGCATCGCCGATGCATCGACGATGCGGCTCGATGTGGAGCCCGTGTTTCCCCACGCCGACGTCGCCCATGCATCGCCGACGTCGCCGATGCATCGCCGATGCGGCGCGATCCTTCGACCCCACTTACTCGGACCCCATGTAGGAGCGAGCGAGCGAGCGTCCATCCGGCTCTACTGCGGATAGAGCCGCGCCCATCTGGGCGGGACGACAAGCGCCGCAGCCCCTGTGTGAAAAACCCGTGCGTGATCACGAGCTGGTCCTCCGTACTCCGCCTCTCTGCGAGACTCCCTGCCATCCGTTGGTGGGCCCCCCCGCCTGGGAGGACCCCGCCTGGGACTCCGCCACTCTGCGAGACTCCCTGCCATCCGTTGGTGGACCCCGCCACTCTGCGAGACTCCTTGCCATCCGTCGGTGGGCCCCCCGCCTGGGAGGAACCCGCCTGGGAGGACCCCGCCTGGGAGGCCTCCGCCTGGGAGGACCCCGCCTGGGAGATTCCTTGCCTGGGAATACCCCGCCTGGAGCCCGCGCAGCCCGCGCCGCTCCCAAGGGCCTCCGCGGGCCCCTCGGGGCGGGCTCGCCGGGGCCCCGGCGGGCGGCGCACCGCGCGGGGCACGCGCGGTGCCGCGGGCCTGCGCGCAGCGGAGAGCAGGGCGTCGGCGTCGGCGTCGTCGTCGCCGGCGGCGTCGTCGTCGGCGGCGTCGGCGTCGTCGGCGTCGTCGGCGTCGTCGTCGGCGTCGTCGGCGTCGGCGGCGTCGGCGGCGTCGGCGTCGTCGTCGGCGTTGGCGTCGGCGTCGGCGTCGGCGTGTTCGTTCCCGGCTCTCCTCAGGTCACGCGCCTCCCAGCGGCCGAGCAGGGCGGACGCTCGGGCCTGGGAGTGTCGGCGGTCTTCGAGCAGCTGTGCCTGGAGGCCGAGCACGAGGGCCTCTCCAAGCGGCTCTCGGGCAGCCCCTTCTCGGACGGGGCCGCCCGGTGGCCCGCGGAGCGCTTCCAGTTCCCCGCCTGGGGCCTCTCTGGGGAAGAGGCGGGCCACGGAAGAAGACGGGGTCGTCTGCGCGGACACTCGCGCGTACAGTCGGACTGAGGAACAAGATCAAGGTAGGTTCGGGGAGGGTGCCCTAATTAGTGTTCTTCGTGTTTGTTGGATGTCCTTGTGCATTGTGGAGAGGGTGCCCTCGGATGTTCTGGCTGTTTTGGCCGACGGAGGGACTCATGCTCTTGAGGGATGTTCTTCTGGCCTAGGTCCGACTGTAGGCCTTGCGCGTGAGGTCGCGCGGAAGCGCCCGAAACGCCATCTTCTTCACGCAGTGTGTCACGCCAGCGGCCCGCGCAAGCCGTGGCGCAAGGTGGCTCTGCCATCACGCGTGAGGCCCGCTTCTCCTCGTCGCTCAGGTGGCGCTGGCAGAGTTCCAGGCGGCCGACGGCGAACTCTTCGAGGGCTTCGCGGGGGCCACCGAGCGCGGCGGCCCTGGGCCGCCCTTCTTCGAGCCCTGGGAACGGCTGGCCCTGACCCTCCGGATGCTCGAGAGGGCGGTGGCGAGGCAGGCCGCGGCGGTGGCCGCGGCCCCCGCCCGGCCGCGCGGCGCCGTGCCGGCGCTGTCCTGCTGGCGCTGTCCGGAGGTCCTCGCCAGGAAGCCGGCGAGCCCTGACGGAGACGGGTCCTGAGGTCCCCAGACCCCCTCGCGCGGTGAAGGAGTCACGGCGCCAGGCTTTTCGCTGTGGTCGGTCTCCCGGGGCACTTGCCGGGCCTCGGGAGCGTCAAAAAGCGCATCAGGGGGAAGAACCGGTCCCGGGGAATGCGTCGAGACATCTGGGGGTCGACGATACGAACAAAAATCACGGCGTCGGGGGTCTGGGTCCAGGGGCCCTCCACGGGCCCTGGGACCGTCAAGAGGCGATTCAGGATGAAGAGCTGGTCTTGGCGAGGGCTCTGGGGGGTCCAGGGCCTGCTTCCCTCAGGAGGCGCTCCCAGACAACCGACGTCGTGCTTCCACGTGGCTCGGCACAGGTCTGGACCTCTTCTTGGGGGACGGGCTTCTCCTCCCAGATTGTTTGTTGACGGCCCCGGGTCGACTACCCGTAAGACTGACCTCTCGCTGCAGTGACCTTTGGTGCGGGTGCACGGGGGGCCCCCAGATGGCTGAATGCGGTGCGATAGCAGCGGCTGGCGCGCTCGGGCTCGCCCCCCCCCCCCCCGCGCCCTCCGGAAGTTGCGCACCAAAGGTCACTCTTGCAAAGGGTCACTCTTGCGTGTAGCCGACCAGGTCCTGGCGAGGGCCCCCGGAGGCCGAACATCGCCACAAACCGTCCGTCTTGTGCTTTCCACGTTGCGAGCATGCATGGGTTCCTGATGGGCCAGTTTCCCACCACCACTACCATAGGTCGGACGGGGGAGAAGGGAGGCTGGGGAGCTCCGCCTCCTCCTCCTCCTCCTCCTGCTCCTGCTCCTCCTCCTCCTCCTCCTCCTCCTCCTCCTCCTCCTCCTCCTCCTCCTCTTCCTCCTCCTCCTCCTCCTCTCTCTCCTACCAATGGTAGCGGTGGTGGAGAACCAGCCCATCAGTTCCCTCCACGTGCAGCGGAGGTCGGGGCGGACGGGCAGACGCCCCTGGTGCAGGGGCTGCTCCAGAGCGGGTGGCTGGAGAGCGTGCTGCCACTGCACGAGGCCGCGGCGCCTCTGGGCTGGCGCACGCTGGCCGAGAGGTGGTGCCTGCGGGGGCCGCTCCGGGAGGCCAGCAGGCTATAGCAATGTTCGGGGGCACCCAAACGGTGCGGTGATCACACCGTGCGGTGAGTCAGTCGGGATTCGGGGTCACCTCACGTTTGTGGGCTTTGGGTCGTTCTCCGAGGGCGTCTCGGGCGACTGGGGCCTCCGAGGTCCAGAACCGTGCGATCGCGGACCTTGCGGCGAGGTCGTTGCGGACTCCGAGGTCACCGCACGGTCTGTCACCGCACCGTCTCGGGACTCCTAACATGCTCATACCAAGGTCCACTGCGTCTCGGATTTTCGGACGCCCTGCCTTCGAAGTCCTGGCCGCAGTGAATGCAAGAGGCACGCAGACATGTCGGCCCTGGCGAGGCGAGATGCACAGTTGCTCTGCATCTCGGGTTTCTGGCATCCCCTCCGCCCCCTCGCCCCCACCCAAACAAAGACATAGCGGATAGTTAACTCCGGATGCTAACCTTGCCCGCAAGGCTGGGATCGATGACATTCACAGGGAGTTCGGCGACGATGTGGCGTACTACTTCGTCTTCATGCGGACCTTTACTGTTTGGCTGCTGCCGCTTGCTGTCCTTGGGCCGGTTGCCTGCTGTACCACATGGCTCCTGGGCGACAGCGTAGATGATTCCTTGGCGATGCCATTCTACGCGCTGCTGGTGGTGCTCTGGGCGTCGCTGTTCCCTCGCCTCACCGAGCGCGCGGACTCGCACTTTGCCTGCCGCTGGGGCCGCTGGCATCTGTTCGCGGATCGGGTCGGGATCTCGGTGCACGAGTCCCCCCTGCGACCGACCTTCAGAGCCGAGATTGAGAAGGCTTTACAGCTGGTGCCGCCGACCCTTATGGCGACGACGACGACGACGATACACGAGTGGCGGCGACGACGACTCGAACGGAGAAGCCCATCACACGCCGACAGGATCGGCGGATTTTGAAGAACCCGCTCACGGGCGAGGTGGAGTACAGCTTCCCCAGGTGGCGCCGCTGGCCCCTCTATGCAAGGAGCGCGGCCGTCACGTCGATCATGTTGTGTGTGGCTTTTGCGGTCATGGTCTGCTCCCTGAACCTGCAGGGCGCCGTCCAGGGACCAGACGACGCAAGGGCCCAGGGCTTCGAGAAGTCGGGCTCCCGCTTCCACGTGCCGTGCTTGGCAGCCTGGGCTCGCCCCGGTCAGATACTCGATCCGACAGGCGAGGGCGACCCCTTGTTCTTCGGGTACATCACACTGATCCCAGTCGTCCTGCACGTCATCGGCATCGCTGTCTTGAACGCGATCTACAGACGCGTCGCCACGGCCCTCACCGAGGGCGAAAATCACAGGACGGAGGCCGACTTTCACAATGCACTCGTGATCAAGCGATTCCTCTTCGAGGCTTTCGACGCCTACATCGCTCTCTTCTACATCGCGTTCTATGAGAGAGATCCGGTCAGCCTGCAGTGGACATTGAGGTCCCTCTACACGGCTGATGTGGTACGTCGGGTTCTGCTGGAGACTGTATTGCCCCTCGTCGGCCTGCAGGTAGGAAGCTGGCGCCGGATCCGCAGCTCCGCCCGCCGCAAGAAGGACGAGGACGGTGCCTTTCCGAGCCGTGGCGCTGCGGAGCGATGGGAGCTCGAGGCGGCCAGGTCGGGAGTTGCTGGAAGTGCCCCTGGACCAATGTGCCCCCAGGACTCCCAAGGAGGCCACCACGGCCTCCAGAGCACCCCTCACGAGGCCCAGAGGACCCCAGGGGCTCCAAAGTGAGCGAAAAGCTGGGGGCACCTTCGGCCAGGGGCACCTTCAGCAGCACCCGACCAGGGGGGAGCTCGAGGACTTTGGGGACTACCTGGAGATGGTCATCGAGTTCGGCTACGTGACCCTCTTCGCCTCGGCCTTCCCACTGGCGGCCTGCCTCTCCGTCTGCGCCAACGTCGTCGAGGTGCACAGCGACGCGGTGCGCCTCCGACACGCCCTCCGGCGCCCGCCGCCCATGGCGGCTGGCGGAATGCCGCCGGCGTGGCGGACGGTGATCCGGAGCATCTGCTGGCTGTCGGTGCTCACCAACGTGCTGCTGTTCGGGCTCCCGGGGCAGGGAGCACTCCCAGGCACGCTCGCGTCCTGAAGAGGTCACGGCGCGAAGTGTTCGGCAAGTCTCAGCCTCCGGGGGCTCTCGCCGGGCCCCGGGATCGCCCAAGAAGGGTCCGGAATGAAAACAGGTCCCTGGGAAGAGGTCGCGAAGCCTCTGTGGCGCCACGCTGCGAACAAAAATCGTAACGCTGGATGTCTGGGCCTCTTTCAACCACGCAATCGGGGGCTGATAGAACCCCCACCCTGCCAGGTCGATTGGTGAATTTTGGAGGGCCACGCCTACCTGCTTCCAGAAGACCAGCCTCTGGGGCCCATGCCAAATACCGTTCTCACGTCCTAGCCAAAAGCGTCTATGGCAGTTCGGCATGGTGCAAGGTCGTAGAGAGGGTGGATCCGCTGGTATGTTCCTGTTCTAGAGCAGGTCCCACATGGCACTCTAGGGTGAATTGTCCCTTGTTTGGTTATCGAGAGGGGCCTGCGGCAGCAATGTTTGCGGGCCTGCGGCCGCGGGGTCTGGTTCTGGGTCGCCTGTTCATTACAATTAAATCGGGCGTGTCCCTCTACAGGAGGGATCTTCAAACATAATAAGAAAATAGTCAGGGGACGATATGTTTTACTATTTTGGATTTTTGGTTTTACTGTTTTCATTTGTCTTCCAAAATCCGCCTGTAAGAGGACATGCCCGACCTCATGCAAGGTGCTTTGCCAAAGGGGACGTCTGCTCGCTTGCGTCCGCGGACCAACAAGTGCTTTTCGAGAGAGGTTTCTGCCCACCCCGGCATCAAGCCCTCTCGAGCCCAAGTTCGGGGTCAGGCATGCCCTGGGGAGTATCAGCTCCTGACACCCGGCCAGGCTGGATGGCCATGTCCACTGGGAGCCTGGCTCAGGATAGGCGCTGTGGGTGCCAGGTGGTGATGGTTGTATTCGGATTCCTCAGGTTTTCGTCCCAGCAGATGATGCAGTTCTTCCCCAGCTTCTTCAAGGAGCTCTGAAGCCCCCTTGAGTCCTCTCAGGCTATCTAGATCCCGCCAACACCACATCCTCCTCATTTCTCGCTCCTTATCTCTCCTTCCCTCCTCCGCGCTTTATTTTAGATTCGGTCGCGAGAGATTCTCTGCAGCACCAACATGTTGTGTTATATTGCATTATCTGGTTCCTCTCCATGGAACAAACTCCGTTCCTCCTTCTCCTCCAGGAGCTGGACGCAGACGAACATAAGGTGAGGCAGCAGGGCGTCTGGGTGCTCTTCGGCCTGGAGAACGTCCTGCTGGCTATGTGCACCGGGCTGTCCCTGGCTGCGGGGGTGCCCAAAAGGGCGCCTTGACGGCGCGCGACGGGGGGGAGGGCAGGGGGCAGGGCAGGAGTGCGGGGCATCCCCAGACCCCCGACGTTGTTTTTCCCAACCATCCTGTGGTGTTGGGTCCTCGTTTTGAAGAGACAGCGCCCCGCGTCTCACCTCCCGCTGCCCTCCTCTCTTCTCCCATCATCGTCATCATCATCATCATCATCATCATCATCATCATCATCATCATCATCATCATCATCATCATCATCATCATCATCATCATCATCATCATCATCATCATCATCATCATCATCATCATCATCATCATCATCATCATCATCATCATCATCATCGTCATCATCATCCATCATAGCATCATCATCGTCATCATCATCGCCATGGCCATTAGTTTCCAACCATCCTGTGGTGTTCGCATGGCGGCCCCGCCCCATTCTGGCGCACCCCTCACACGGTTCGTGGCCCCATAGGGAGCTCCACCGAAGGCCCCAGTGGCTGCGTTCGCATGGCGGCCCCGCCCCATTCTGGCGCACCCCTCACACGGTTCGTGGCCCCATAGGGAGCTCCACCGAAGGCCCCAGTGGCTGCGTTCGCATGGCGGCCCCGCCCCATTTCGGCGCACCCCTCACACGCGTGGCCCCATAGGGCCTCCACCGAAGGCCCCAGTGGCTGCGTTCGCATGGCGGCCCCGCCCCATTCTGGCGCACCCCTCACACGGTTCGTGGCCCCATAGGGAGCTCCACCGAAGGCCCCAGTGGCTGCGTTCGCATGGCGGCCCCGCCCCATTCTGGCGCACCCCTCACACGGTTCGTGGCCCCATAGGGAGCTCCACCGAAGGCCCCAGTGGCTGCGTTCGCATGGCGGCCCCGCCCCATTCGGCGCACCCCTCACACGGTTCGTGGCCCCATAGGGAGCTCCACCGAAGGCCCCAGTGGCTGCGTTCGCATGGCGGCCCCGCCCCATTCTGGCGCACCCCTCACACGGTTCGTGGCCCCATAGGGAGCTCCACCGAAGGCCCCAGTGGCTGCGTTCGCATGGCGGCCCCGCCCCATTTTGGCGCACCCCTCACACGGTTCGTGGCCCCATAGGGAGCTCCACCGAAGGCCCCAGTGGCTGCGTTCGCATGGCGGCCCCGCCCCATTTTGGCGCACCCCTCACACGGTTCGTGGCCCCATAGGGAGCTCCACCGAAGGCCCCAGTGGCTGCGTTCGCATGGCGGCCCCGCCCCATTTCGGCGCACCCCTCACACGGTTCGTGGCCCCATAGGGAGCTCCACCGAAGGCCCCAGTGGCTGCGTTCGCATGGCGGCCCCGCCCCATTCTGGCGCACCCCTCACACGGTTCGCGGCCCCATAGGGGGTTCAACCGAGGGCCCCAGTGGCAGGCTTCGCATGGCGGCCCCGCCTCATTTTCGCGCACCCCTCACACGGTTCGTGGCCCCATAGGGAGCTCCACCGAAGGCCCCAGTGGCAGGGTTCGCATGGCGGCCCCGCCCCATATTGGCGCACCCCTCACACGGTTCGTGGCCCCGCAGGGACATAGGGAGCTCCACCGAAGGCCTCAGTGGCAGGGTTCGCATGGCGGCCCCGCCCCAGTGTGGCGCACCCCTCACACGGTTCGTGGCCGCATTGGGAATTCCTTTTGCTTCGTCCCACCTGCCCTGCGGTATTCACGTTTGCATATGGTTGGGTCCTTCGCCAGGATAATTTTTGGCGGAGGCCCAGACCTCTCGCGGACCTCGCCGTGACGAAGTCACGACGCCGGGTGCCTGGCCCGGGCGTGGCTAGGACGAGGATAGATCCCCAGACCCCCTCGAGATGTGAAAAAGTCACGACGGGAGGTGTTTCTATATTTTCTGCCTTTGGGGGCCCTCGCTGGCCCTCGGGACCGTCGAACAACGACTCGGGAGGAAAAAGCAGTCCCGGAGAATGAGTCGGGACCTCGGGGAGTCGACGTCATGAAAAAAACATGACGTCAGGGGTCTGGGTTGAATGGATCCAGTCCAGAGCGTTCCAAGTCGCTCTGAGAAGGTCGCGGCGCGGTAGGGTCCCCAAGAGGCCGCAAGCTAATTGTGAATACCGCCGTGTTGAGTATCGCCCTCGGTGGAGCTCCTTGTGGGCCACGAAGCGTGTGATAGGTGTGCCGAAACAGAGGTGGCGGTGCCATATGAACCCTGCCATTGGGGCCTTCGGCGAAATTCCCTATGGGGCCTCGAAAGGTGTAAGGGGGGTGCCGACATGGAGGCGGCGACGCCATGCGAACCCTGCCACTGGGGCCTTCGATGGAGCTCCCTCTGAGCACGCGGAACATGTAATGGGCGTGCCGAAATAGAAGCGGCGGTGCCATGCGAACCCTGCCACTGGGGCCTTCGGTGAAGCTCCCTATGGGGCTACGAAGCGTGAGAGGCGTGTGATGAAATGCAGGCGGCGGTGCCATGCGAACCCTGCCACTGAGGCCTTCGGCGCAGCTCCGTATGGGGCCACGAAGCGTGTGAGGGGTGTGCCGACATGGAGGCGGCGGTGCCTACCTGAGGGGTGTGCCGACATGGAGGTGACGGTGCCATGCGAACCTTGCCACTGGGGCCTTCGGCAGAGTTCTTTATGGTGCCACGATGCGTGTGAGGGGTGTGTCGAAATGGAGGCGGCGGTACCATGCGAACCCTGCTACTGTGGCCTTTGGCGGAGCTCCCTAAGGTGCCACGAACCGTGTGAGGAGTGTGCCGAAACGGAGGCGGCAGTGCCATGCGAACCCTGCCACTGGGACCTTCGGCGCAGCTCCGTATGGTGCCACGAAACGTGTGAGGGGTCTGCCGACATGGAGGTGGCGGTGCCATGCGAACCCTGTCACTGGGGCCTTCGGGGGAGCTCCCTATGTGGTCACGAAGCGTGTGAGGGGTGTGCTGACATGGGAGGCTCATTCGGAGAGCAGAAGCATGAAGGGGAGGACGGAGGAGGGGGAGGAGGAGAGCAGAGAAGAGGAGGACGCGGGGCGCTGTCTCAAACGAGGACCGAACACCACAGGATGGTTGCGGAAACATGTTCCGGGCACCCGGTAGCCGGGCCGAGAGGCCGAACGCGAGGAAACACGTCAGGATTAGAAACAAGCATGTTTGCCAGCGTGGACACCAAACTATGAGTCTTTGTAGTATGGATGCGCGCGGTCAGAGATGCGGCAACGAGGCGGCACCAGCCAGGCACCAGCCGAAACTCCAACACACCCGCCCGGCGCACATGCCGGCATCGAGGCGGCAGCGAGGCGGCAGCGAGGCGGCAGCGAGGCGGCACGCGCTGGGCACCATGCGACACCCCGACACCCCCGTCCAGTTCTTCAGCAACCCACGCAGGATCCCTGACATTTAACCCGCATAGCAGTTCATCGAAGAAGAAAAAACGGCACAAGCATAAACTTGTGGCGCGCCGCGCGGATTTGGATCCGCGCTGGGGCCCCCACGGCGGTGCCTCTGGCGCCGCCCCTGGCGCGCTCCGCGCGCCAGGGAGCGGAGCCCTGGGCGTAGATCCAAGAAATCCGCGCGGAGCGCCAAAAGTTTACGTTCATGCTAAATTCAGGATGAGCGACTTTCCGAAGTTGCCCTTACATCCTTCCCCATTCGGCCCCTCCTTGGCCGCTCCCGCTGGCCGCGCCCCGCTCGCAGAGTGTCGACATGGCCTTCCAAGGCCCTTGCATCCTTGCCGTGCGTCCTTCTTCTACGGGCTGGCTGCAGGTGCAGCCACGCACGCAGGAACCCTTGAGTGCAAGCGCTCTCCGGGGAACAGCGTCGGATGTCTGGGTCTGGGCCCCCCCGCAGGCTGTGCGCCGGGAGCCCAAGTGGGTCTGGAGGGCTCTCCGCGGCCGGGAGCTCCGGGTGCGGCGCGCGCTCGTGGAGGCCCCCCCGAGCGGCGGCTGGGGGGGGGGGCGGGCGGCGGCGGGGAGGGCACTGTCTGCACAATCCGCGGAGCGCACTGTGGCAGAGAGGAGGGGGAGGGAGGGGAGGGGGAGGAGGGCAAGCTAGGTGCGCTCGCCTCACATCTGACGTCCTACCCATCCCTCCCATCCCTTACCATAGCGTAGATCTCCCCTCTATTCGCACAGTCGGGTGTCGTAGCATGGCATAGCATTACATGGCATCGTATGGTGTTGAAGATCAGCGCGTATCATAACCTAGCATGGCGTGGCGACGCCCCAAAGTGCTGCGGCCCAAGGAATCAACGAATCGACACCGAATGTGGAATCATTTCCGATGTTTCGGGGGGCCATTTTCTAGACTTTGGGGCCTGTTTGGAAGGACCGAAAGCCATGCTGTGGCATGGCACTGGAAATAATAACGCCAGCGCTGCAGCGGGAGCACGATTCGGGACGAGCAAAATCGCGGAAATGAGGCCAGCGCTGCAGAGGGAGCATTATTCGGAACGAGCGGAAGCGCGGAAATGAGGCCAGCTCTGCAGCGGGAGCACGATCCGGAACGAGCGGGAGCCCGAAAATGAGGCCAGCGTTTCAGCGGGAGCAATATTTTGAACAAGAACTAAGCGAAAACCCATATCCCAGGAGTCCAGTGTGTGAAAAACAATACGCGCAGGGGGCCAGGTATCTTTTGGACGTCATTAGGGAAGACAAGAGAATAGTACTCATATTGTCCATTTGTGGAGGAGGACGAGGACGAGGACGAGGAGGAGGAGGAGGAGGAGGAGGAGGAGGAGGAGGAGGGGGTGGGGGAGGAGGAGGAGGAGGAGGACGACGAGGAGGAGGAGGGGGAGGGGGAGGAGGGCAAGCTAGGTGCGCTCGCGTCATATCTGACCTCCTACCCGCCCCTCCCATCCCTTACCATGGCGTAGATATCCTCTCTATCCGCACCGTCGGATGTCGAGCAGGGCAATGATCGCGGGAGGGCACTCGATGCATGGTAGAGCACGGCATGGTATGGCGTAGAAGAGCACGGCAGAGCGTAGCATGCCATAGCATTGCGTGGCATTGCGCAGTGAAACATTGCATCACAGAACAATCCAACGCAAGGCATGGCATCGCACAGCGCCGCAGAACAAAACACCGCACGGCACGTCATGGCATGGCGCCAGGTTCCTTGGAAGGTAAGTGGATCGTCTTCGAGAGGTCTGGGCCGGTCTGGAGTCGTGGCTCCATGTCTAGCTCCTTTGGCTCCCCGACAAGCTCCACACAAGGCTGGGCTGATGGAGAACACCTGCTGGCTCTGTTTCCGAAACATCTTTCTCGAAGCAGAAACAGGGCTCCAGCTTGACACGTCCTTAAAACGACGACGCCCCAAAGGGGCGAGGGGTCTTCAGCGACCCCAAAATCAACGAATCGACACCGAATGTGTAATCACGTCCGCTGGTCTCTTCGGGGTAGCATTTTTGTGATTTTGGGACCTGTCTGGAAGGAGAGCCAGCCCTGCAGCGGGGGCACGATTCGGATCGAGCGGAATCGCGGAAGTGAGGCCAGCGCTGCAGCAGGAGTACGATCCGGAACGAGCGGAAGCTTGAAAATGAGGCCAGCGTTTCAGCGGGGGCAACATGTTGGAAAACACCCAAGCGAAAACCCAATTCCCGGGAATCTGGTGTGTAAAACACAGTGCGCGGAGGTGGCCGAACATCTTCCGGACGTCATCAGAGGAGAGAGGAGAGTAGTATTCATATTCTGCAAGTGTGGAGGAAGAGGAAGAGGGGGGAGGAGTGGGAGGGGAGTGCACTTTTCTGTATCATCCGCAATGCGCCCTGTGGCAGAGAAAAGGACGAGGAAGGGGAGGAGGAAAACAAGGAGGAGGCGGCGGAGGAGGCGGAGGAGGAGAAGGAGGAGGAGGAGGAGGAGGAAGTGGAGGAGGAGGAGGAAGACGACGAGGAGGAGGAGGAGGAGGAATGTGGGGGAGGAGGAGGAGGCGGAGGATGATGCTGCTGCTGCTGCTGCTGCTGCTGATGATGATGATGATGATGATGATGATGATGATGGTGATGATGTGATGATGATGATGATGATGATGATGATGATGATGATGATGATGATGATGATGATGATGATGATGATGATGATGATGATGATGATGATGATGATGATGATGATGATGACTAATGATGGGGTGATGATGATGATGAGGAGGAGGAGGAGGAGGAGGAGGAGGAGGAGCAGGAGGATCAGGAGGAGGAGGAGGAGGAGGAGGGGGAAGAGAAGGAAGAGGAGGAGGAGGAGGACGAGGAGGAGGGGGAGGAGGGGAAGGAGAAGGAGGAAGAGCAGGAGGAGGATGATGATGATGATGAGGAGGAGGAGGAGGAGGAAAAAGAGGGGTTCTCTGGCCTCCCGGTTCTGGAGGACGGCTGTTTTTTGTGCACGTGTTCAGCCTCTGAAGGCCGTCCGTGTCCCGGCCTCCATGCCTCCAGATCCACGTGGGCTCACACCACACAGACATAGCGGCGTCGGGGGGAGAGAGGACGGCCCTCACACCTGCGCGTGAGGCACACTCTCAGAGGAGGAACTACAGTCAATACGCATAGCAAGGATGGGTGATATTCCCAAGGGTACCTTGCATCCTTGCCTCCTCGGTCCATCCTTTGCCAGTTTCGCTCGCCGCGCCGCGCTCGAAGAGCTCCGAAATGGGCGTCCAAGGCACTTGCATCCTTATCGTGCATCCTTATGGTACTGCCCTGCTGTGCACCGATGCCGATACGGGCCGACTGTCTACCGACGCCTGGAGGCGTCCTCGTCGCCACGGCTGGCTTCGCTTCGGGATCCTGGTCAGACCGCACCCCTCGGGGCTCGGACCTTCTCCGACCGCGTGCTCCTCTCCCGACGGCGTCGACGGCGGCATCCTCCTCCTCCTCTTCCTCCTCCTCCTCCTCCTCCTCCTCTTCCTCCTCCTCCTCCTCCTTCGTCTCCTCCTCCTCCCTCTCTTCCTCCCTCTCGTCCTCCTCCTCCTCCTCCTCCTCCTCCTCCTCCGTCTCCTCCTCCTCCCTCTCATCCTCCCTCTCGTCCTCCTCCTCCTCCTCCTCCTCCTCCTCCTCCTCCTCCTCCTCCTCCTCCGCCTCCTCCTCCTCCTCCTCCTCCTCACTTTCGTTTCGGACGGTCTTGGGGATTTCTGGAAGTTCTCGCCTCCACCGCCTCCTCCTCCTCATCCTCCTCCTCCTCCTCCTCCTCCTCCTCCCTTTCGTTTCGGACGGTCTTGGGGATTTCTGGAAGTTCTCGCCTCCACCGCTGGACACGGCTCCAGCAATTAGCCAGGATGAAGTTTGGGAGTGGTCGGGAGCTGATCTTGAGCGGACTCCTGTTGTACGAGGAGGTGCCCCTGGATCGATGCGAACTGCGAACTGCGCACCCGTCGCCACTTTCGTGGGCTGCGAACTGCGCAACCGTCGCCACTTTCGTGGGCTCATGGTAGACACGGCGGAGGTGAGGTCCACGGGGATCCATTAGAGACCTCGCGGATCCATCGGGGGCTGCACACTGCGCAACTGTACAACGGGAGGTCTTTCGCTGTTCTCGGCCTCAGAGGACTATTCCAGGGCCTCGGGACCGTCAACAAACGACTCGGGATGAAAAGCCGGTCCCAGGGAAGGGGTCCAGACCTCTGAGGGTCGACGATGTAAAACAATCACGACGTCGCTGGTCTGGGATGCAAGCGTCTCACCACCCACCAAGCCACCCCAACCCAACCCGAAGGCCCAAATTTGCCATCCTTTCCCTGTGGGGGGGGGTCCGGGACCATTGAAAAAGCACGTGCGGAACCCGTACCCCCCCAAAACTCGAAATTCGGGTCTTCGGGTCAAGGTTGGGGTGGTTTGGTAGGTAGCCAGCGTCATTGTGGATTCCAACCTCCTGGACAACTGAGGTGGGCACCCGGGTAGCGGGAGCCCTGGCAGCACATTGCAGCACAGAAGCCTTGCATCATCCGAGTGGACGCATTGGCAAAACAAACCGAACAGCCGCACGCTGCCGAGGGCGGCAACAGGCGAGAGAGCGCGGCCAAACGCCGATGCCAAGATGGCGATGAAAGACGTCGACGACGGATCACATGTCAACATGTCGCCGCATCGTTTGGGAGGAGGAGGAGGAGGAGGAGGAGGAGGAGGAGGAGGAAGAGGAGGAGGAGGAGGAGGAGAAGGAGGAGGAGGAGGAGGCAGGGCTTGCCTTTGGGGCTTGCCGCGGTGCCGGCCTCGTCTGCCTGGGGGCGCGGGACGCAGGGCTTGCCGTGGGGTTTGCCGTGGTGCCGGCGGCAGCCATCCACGGGGGCGCGTCGAGAACGAACGGCGCGGCGACACGTCACACTTATGGAACCCCGGCAGCGCTCAGGAGAAAATGGCAGAACACCGCACCCTTGGTGCGGGGCGGCGCAGGACAGCGGCCAGGACGCGCCGCTCCCCTGCCTCGCCCTGCTGGGTGCCCACCAGGGCGGCGCGGAGCGGCGCACTCCTTCGGTTGAGCACCCCAGCGGCGTGTCACGGTGCGCTTTCTTTCCCACCCACCTGCCCTTCCCAGACCCCCGCGCGTCGCGAAGGAATCGCGACGCTAGGTTCTCGATCGCTTTCGGCCTTTCGGGGGCCCTTGCCGGGCCTTGAGATCGTCAGAAAACGATTCAGGGTGAAAAGGCGGTGCTGGGGAAGGGCTCCAGACCTCTGAGGGTCGACGTTCTGAGGCAAAATGACGCCAGCGGTCCGGGTCTCCCACCCAGCCACCCTTCGGCGCACGACTCAGCAGGAACGAAGTGGGTACGGAACGAATGGGTACAATGCCCAACAGCAGTTCTGGTTCATTTTGAACAGGACTCGCTGTCCGCGCCACCGCGGCCTGTGTCCATTTGAGACAGAAGGCCGCCTACCCAGCAGCGGTCGCTGTTATTTTTGGACAGCGCTTATTGTTTGGCATAGTACCCGTTTTTCCGTACCCATTTCGGGCGTGAAAAAGGACGGATGTGCCAGGAGGCCGCGCGTGACCGCGCTTCCGCAGCGCGCGCCGAGGAGGGCGCTTTCTGCGCTCTCTGCCTGCCCGCCAGCCCACGGCAAGACTCGGTGGCCCCTGCCGTTCCCTAATTGGCTGGGGGGGCCTGGCCCGAGGAGCTTTTGGTCCCGGATCCCCCCTCCTCCTCTCCTCCTCCTCCTCCTCCTCCTCCTCCTCCTCTTCCTTTCTCCTCCTCCTCCCTCCTCCTCCCTCCTCCTCCTCCTCCTCCTCCTCCTCCCTCCTCCTCCCTTCCTCCCCCTCCTCCTCTCCTCCTCCTCCTCCTCCTCCTCCTCCTCCTCCTCCTCCTCCTCCTCCTCCTCCTCATCATCATCATCATCATCATCATCATCATCATCCCTCTCCCTCTCCCAAGGTGCGAGGGAGACCCAAGCGACGGCAAGAGCATCAATTTTTCTGGGGTTCGCGCGGACTTCTTGCATCGGCGCTGGACCCCGCTCCCCATGCCATTGGCGGGGCCTCCAGCGCCGACTCGAGAAATCCACAAAGATCTCTGGTTCTCGAAGAAGGATGGGGGCACTCCAGAAGGAGGAGTAGGCTGAGGAGGAGGAGGAGGAGGAGGCGGAGGCGAAGAAAGAAGCGGAGGCGAATGAGGCGGAGGCAGAGGAGGATGAGGAGGCGGAGGAGGAGGAGGAGGAGGAACAAAGATGGGGACGTACCAGAGCGCTCTGAGAAGGCCGTGGCGCCTGAGGCATCCTCCAGAGCCGCCAGATTTCAGAGATTCTCGATCCCTGAGGTCCGACGTGGCGATCAAAACTGCAACACCCATGTTTCTGCGTCATTTCTTCGAGCGTGATCGATCCGTGAGGCTCCCGGGTGCCGGCACGGGGCGACAATGCCCGTCGCGAAAAAATTGCGACGCCAGGATCTCCAGTCATCCGGCTGCTCCAATTTTTTGGGTGCGTGGGCCCCTGAGGTCGGGACCCCTTCTCCGGGGCCGGCTTTTCGTCCTGAGCCGTTGTTTGACGCTCCCGAGGCCCGGCGAGGGCCCCCAGTGGCCGAAATTGGGCGCCGCGTAATGGGGGGGTCATGAATGAGTGAGGTGGCGAGGGTGGTTCGAAAAGGTGCCCAAACGGTACCTGAACGAGCCCCCTGGGGCTCTGGAGGGGCCCGAAAGGGGCACGAAAGGGGACCTTTTCTGACCCCCCCATTTGTGACCCCCCCATTAAGCCACGCACAACGACAATGGCCCTAAACCGCCCGCTCCAATTTTTGGTGGGAGCGTCGGATCTCTGGGCCTGAGGGATTCATCCTCGCCCGACTTCGCCCTTGCCCTGGCTTCGTCTGAACCGCTGGCAGCGGCCCTCCGAGAGGCGCGGTGCCGCTGAGCCGGAGGCGCCCGGCGGCGCCGCCCCGGGAGCGGCGCCGGCGGGCGCCCCGAAGCGCGCCCCGTGCGCGAAAAGGCGGGTCCCACGGGCCGCCAGCGCCGCGAGGCTCTGGGATCGAGGAGGAGGAGGAGGAGGAGGAGGAGGAGGAGGAGGAGGAGGAGGAGGAGGAGGAGGAGGAGGAGGAGGAGGAGGGGGATCTGGGACCAAAAGCTCCGCGGGCCAGGCCCCCCAGCTTGGGAACGTGCACGGGAGGAGGAGGAGGAGGAGGAGGAGGAGGAGGAGGAGGAGGAGGAGGAGGCCCCCAGACCCCAGACCCGTGCGCCTGGTGAAGAAATCACGCCCAGAGGTTTTTCGCAATGTTCGGCCTCCGTGGGCCCTCACTGGGCCTCGGGGCAATAAAGAAAAACGACGCGCCATGAGGCAGGCGGGCCCGGACGGAATCGCGTCCTGAGGTCCCCAGACCTCTTCGCGCTGTGAAAAAAGTCACGACGGCAGGTTTTTCGCTACCCATCGGTCGTTGAAAGTAGGTATCTCTGGGTCCAGAACCCAATCTGCTTCAAGCGCCTTCCTATTCCAATAATCGATATGGTTTGGCTGTTGGTTGATATCCTTTGGGCGGGTCCGACCCCATTCTTTTTAATCCGCCTTCCTACTGCATATATCTACCGTTCGACCGACCTCCGGGGGCCCTTACCGTGCCTCGGGGCCGTCAAACAACGGCTCGGGATAACGGAAAGAGCGAGGTACGAGTGATGACGTTCTGGTGTGGGCGAAGCCCTAAAGGGAGGGGGTCCAAAGGAGGGGCGAAGCGTGCGGACCTGCGTGTTAATGGCCGTTTTCGGGTTTGCCCTAGGGTTTTTGCATGTTTTTCGGGTTCCCCCCAAGACGGCCCAAGAGCGCTCCAAGAGAGCCCAAGACCGCCCAAGACGGCCCAAGAGGCCCCCAAGAGGCGCCCAAGGGGCGTCTCAAGAGGGCCCCAAGAGGCCGAAATCATTGATTTTCTGAAGGAAAACGTGCATTTTTAGCATATGCGCTTCGTCGGCTTTCACGGCATTGACGACGGCCCAAGAAGCCCCCAAGACCGCCTTAAGACGGCCCAAGAGGCTCCCAAGAGGCCCCCAAAACGGCCCAAGAGGGCCCCAAGACGGCCCAAGAGGCGCTCAAGACGGCCCAAGAGGGCGCCAAGACGGCCCCAAGAGGGGGACCACGAACCGAAAAGTCTAGCCTTTCGCCCTAAGACGCTCCCAGGAGGCCCTCAGAGCCCTCCAAGAAGCCCCAAGAGGCCCCCACGAGGCGTCCCAAGAGGCCACCGGGAGGCGAAAATCATTGATTTCCTATGGGAAAGGTACATTTTTAGCATGCAAGGCTTTTCGGCTTTCACTGTGTTGAAGACGCTCCAAGAGGCCCCCAAGACCGCCCCAAGACGGCCCAAGAGGCTCCCAGGAGGCCCCCAAAACGGCCCAAGAGGGCGCCAAGACGGCCCAAGAGGCGCCCAAGACAGCCCAAGAGGGCCCCAAGACGGCCCCAAGAGGGGGACCACGAACCGAAAAGTCTAGCCTTTCGCCCCAAGAAGCTCCCAGGAGGCCCTCAGAGCCCTCCAAGAAGCCCCAAGAGGCCCCCAACAGGTTCCCAAGAGGCCTCCAAAAGGGCCCGACAAGGGCCCCAATAGGATCCCCAAGAAGGCCCAGAAACGCCAAATAGAGAGCGATCGGTAACGCAAAAAGCTCTTCACACCAAGGCTCCCAAGAGCGAACGGTGACGTAAACAAGCTGATAAGACCAAGGCTCCCAGCAGAGAGCGGTGACGTAACAAGTTCCTGACACCAAGGCCCAGCCAAGGCTCAGGAACGGGCGGCAACGCAACAATCTCTGAACACCAAGGCTCCCAAGAGCGAGGGGTGACGTAACAAGCTCTCAACGCCAAGGCTCCCAGTACGAACGGTGGTGTGAGTAATTTCGGTTTCTGTTTCTGAAGCGCTCTTTCCGTTTCTGTGCCGGCCCAGGTAAATAAAATTGGTCCCAGGGAAGGGGTCCAGACCTCTCGGGGGTCGACGTTGCGTGACAAAGATCACAACGCTGGGGGTCTGGGTCCGAGGGGATCGGGCCTCGCGAGGGTCGCGGATCGAGCTCCGAGGGTCGAGGATCCAGGGCAGAGGCTCGAGGGCCGAGGGTCGACAGCCAAGCCCTGTGGGGGGGGTCGGGGGTCGAAGCGCTCGCGGGTCGAGGGTCGGGGATACCAGGGGCAGAGGCTCGAGGCCCAAGAAGTCGAGGGCCAAGCTGGGGAGCGCAGCTCGCGGGTCGAGGGTCGAGGGCCGCTGGGTGTTCCGACGTTTGCCGGGCGGCTACAGTCAGCCCGCACCGTGAGGAGGAGCAGCTTTCGAGGGTTCCCCTTGCATCCTGCCCCATTCGGCCCGTCCTTGGCCGCTCTCGCTGGCCGCGGCCCTTCTCGCAAAGCGCCGACATGGCCTTCCAAGGCCCTGGCATCCTTATCGTGCGTCCTTCTACTATGGGCTGACTGTGGTCCGACGGGTGTAGTCGGCGGCGAGCGAGGGGGGGAAGGGAGAAGGAGAAGGCCTTCTCAGAAGGCGGCGGGACTTCTCAGAAGCCCTCGCGCCTTCTGAGAAGTCTTTTGTGTCTTCGGGGAAGGCTTAGAAAACTTCTCAGACGGCCGGGGAACTTCCGAGCCTTCTGAGAAGCCCCGCCCCTTCTCACTTCCCCCCCTCGCTCGCCGCCAATGTAGGGGTGGAGGAGGAAGAAGAAGGGAGAGGCGGAGGAGGAGGCGGAGGAGGGCGTTCGATCGTTTCCTCCCCTCCTCTCCTCCTCTGCTCCCTCCACGGGAGGGAGGAGGCCCTGTGCCCATCCCCCCGAAGGGCACCCCAGCGCATCCTCGCTTGCAACTTCTGCGTGTACGCCAGATTTCGTAATAAAAGGGAGGGGGTCTGGACCCTCCAAGACGAGCCATTTCAGACCTCCCCCGTTGGAGAACCCTCCAAAACATCGTCCCCAGACCCCCCCAGGCCCTCCAAGGTAGGGTGGAAGAGACCCCCCCCCGAAATGAGACCCCCCTCCCTTTATTACGAAATCTGGAGTAATTACGGCCCCCCCCCAGGGAGGGATAGGGCAATGTTGAGATCGACCCTGATGCCTGGGTCGAGCCGAGTCAAGCAGAAGGTAGAAGAGGAGGAGGAGGAAGATGAGGAGGAGCAGGAGGAGGGGAAGAGGAGGAGGAGAAAGATAAGCGATAAGTTGGAGAAGCGCAGGAGGAGAGGGAGGGAGGGAGGGAAGAGGGACGAGGAGAAGGAGGAGGAGGAGGAGGAGGAGGAGGAGGAGGAGGAAAGGGGGGAGCAGGAGGAGGAGGTGGTGGATGAGGCCTCGTTTCGAAACCCATTCAGGCAATCTGTCGTGCATTGTCATGGTCACCCTGGATTTGGGGACTGCCGCCGCAGCAACCGTACCCTCTCCCCACTTGAAAACTTCGCCGTGAAGGGGCCTGCCGTATCGTCATCCTCGGCCACTGGCGGACGCGTCCCTGTTGGAGGATGGGCATCGAAGAAGGAAAAACTACCTGAGCATAAACTTTCGGAGCTCCGCGTGGATTTCTTGGATCAGGCGCTGGGCCCACTGGCGGCGCCTCCCGCGCCGCCCCTGGAGCGCTCCGCGCGCCAGGGAGGGTGGTTCAGCGCCGATCCAAGAAATCTGCGCGGACCCTCGAACGTTTATCTTTAGGCGGCTTTTCCTCCCTCCAAGGAGGAGGGAGGGGCCCTCGACCCCCACCTTCCGAACCTTCCAGACGGCAGATGCCGCGCAGCGGCCGCCGCCGGCGCGGCCGCAGTGGCGGCCGCCGTCGAGGCCGCAGAGGTGGTCTCAGCAGTCGCCGCAGCCGCGCCGCGGCGGCACCCGTTGCGCGGAAGTCTCGGCAGGTGGAGGTCGAGGCGGAAGGGCTCGGAGTGCATTAGATGTGGATTTCGACGCGGATCCGACGAGTCCGGGAGATCCCTGCATGGATCCGGCACGGACTCGACGCGGATAGGGGCGCGACGGGACAGACAAGGTCCCCCTGGCATGAAACAACGGGGCTCGGAGGGCGGGGAGCCCAGCAAGGACTGGTGACGCCATCGCTCGGACGGCCCTGGAATCAAGATAAATCCGTTCCAGAGCGGTCCGGGACGCTCTCAGAGCGCTCTGCCGTCATGGGGCCATCTTGGCCTCGTGAGCGATCTTGTGGGCCTCTTGCGCCGTCTTGAGCCGTCGGAATGCCGAGAAGAAGCAACTGCCAAAATCTTTCAAAACCTTAGGAACACAGTGAGTTTGGCCTCTCCGTGCCCTCCTGGAAGACCTGGACGCCTTTTGGCCCGTCTTGGAGGCCTCTTGGGGGCCTCTTGGGCCGTCTTGGGCCATCTTGAGGCCATCTTAGGCAGTCTTGGGTGCATCTTGGGCCGTCTTGGAGGCATCTTGGGGCCATCTTAGCAGTCTTGGAGGCCACTTTGGCCGTCTTGGAGGCTTCTTGGGTCCTCTTGGGGCCGTCTTGGGGGCCTCTTGGGCCGTCATGGGGCCATCTTGGAGACCTCGTGGGCGATGTTTGGGGCCTCTTGGGCCGTCTTGAGCCGTCTGAATGCACAAAAAAAGCAAATGCCCAAATCCTTCAAACACCTAAGGAAAACCAATGATTTTGGCCTCTTCGGGCCTTCTGGCGGACCTCTTGGAGGCCTCTTGGGCCGTCTTGGAGGCCTCTTGGGGGGCTCTTGGGCCGTCTCAGGCCATCTGGAGGACATCTCAGGCCGTCTTGGGTGCATCTTGGGCCGTGTTGGAGGCATCGTGGGGCCGTCTTAGCCGTCTTGGAGGCCACTTTGGCCATCTTGGAGGCCTCTTGGGTCGTCTTCGGGCCCTCTTGGGGGCATCTTTGGGGCCTCTTGGGCCGTCATGGGGCCATCTTGGAGACCTCTTGGGCGATCTTGGGGCGATCTTGGGGGCCTCTTGGGCCGTCGGACGGCCGAAAAGGCGAAAATGCCCAAATCCTTCAAGCCCCGAATGCAAATCAATGGCTTTGGC